CAGGATGCTACAGTACTACTGTGAAGAAGAGGTAAGTAAGGCAGTTATTGCTACACATTGAATCCGCCCTGCCTGTTGCCAAGGGCGAGGTCCCATTAGCAAACAAGATTGGATTGAAAGCCTGGATCTGGATTTTTTTGTGGAAAGGTGCAAAATATCGAGATTGATATGTGCTGAAAACATGTCAAAATTCATGAGATTTATCCAATTTTATTTGCTAGTGGGACCTCACCCCATGACACTTTAAAAAAAAAAATCTACGAAAAATAAAAAGTAAGCGCTACATGGTGCGTATAGAAGTGACAGAGACTTTTGCCTCCTGCAAGGATAAAGTGTCGCCCGTTATTACGGGCAGCCACAGTACGTAAGGTAAGGTTTTTTTTTTCCCTCTTATAGATTTATTTTAGATTTTCTAGTTTTTTTGTCGAGACGGTGTTTTGTCTGCGCCCGTTCGTTTTTATGAACGATCTGCAGCTACTAGGGTCACGCCCGAACCTGACATTTTTGACATACCAGATACAGGCGCGTGTGCGTATAGGGGAAATAAAACACTATTGAGCTTGATTCTAGTTCGACTCTGTGAAATGACTACTGAAGAGAGGGGGGGGGCGGGGAACGCTCATTCGTTTTTTTACGACGAGCCCCTCATAGGAAAATGAGGTGTTTTGGAAAATTAAAAAAAAAAAAAAAAAAAAAAAGGAAGAGGAAGAAGGAAAACAACTACGTATGTGGTCGCGGTTGTGGCTATGTGAGTGTGTAAGTGTGTGGGTATGGGTATGGCTGCACTTCAAGTTGTTCTTTTTTTTTTAAACAGGTTGCAGTTTGGTTGGGTATATTCATTCCCTCAAGCATGTGGCCTATACGGAAGGCTAGATGCTTGTGGGATTAAAAGACCTTGGTTCCTTTAGAGTAACATCAAAACCTATGACCCTTGATCGTGGGTTTTTAGTTGGATCAAGGGCTCCGACGAGCTCCAAATTTTTTATTGTGGGCCAAGCTATTGTCCACAATCCTCAACTGGCTATAAAAGCCAACAACCCCCACATTTTGCCTCACAGTTGTTAAGGCTGTGATGCTGCTCATTTACACTTCAAGTGCAGATTGAACTCCTTCATACTGTGAGGGGCGGTGTTGCTCGTGGAGGTCTGCAAAAAGCGAGAGAGAGAGAGAGAGAGAGAGAGAGAGAGAGAGAGAGAGAGAGAGAGAGAGAGTTACCCCACGCATGCGCTGGCGCTACAATCAGAAGGCTACGTTGGCGTCTGATTGTGCGAGAAACGACAACTTGAACGTGAACAAAAGTGTTGTCCGTTTGACGGCGAGGTGCTGGTTCCTTTTAGCGTGAGGGGAGGTGTTGTCCATTTGGCAGCGCGGTAATTGTTGCACGCTGGAGTTGGACCGTGCTGTACAAAGTTTTTTATACCAGTTTCGAGGGGAGGTGAGGCTGAAATTGTGCGGCGGAGTGAGGTTTTGTGAAGTCAAGCGGCGGTGCTAATGAATTTGTGAAGTGAAATTATATATATATTTGACCGAGTGGTGGTGCCGCTGAACGACGGTGGTGAGCATGTGGCAGTGTGGATGTAGTGGTATGATTGTAAAGTTAGTGGCACTTGCGATACTTGCGTCGAAGAACTGCCCTTATTTTTTTTTGGATGCCCGATGCAAACTAGTTTATTTTTTTAGCCATTTGGTGCGAAGGGCGTCAGTGTGGGACTACGTGGGACCATTATCGGGATCAATTTAAGATTGGTGTAGTTATTACAAACACAGACGGTGATTTGAGGTGGCGTGGACTTGCAGTTGGTAGGAGAGTGTCTTTGAAGCACATGGTGCAACTGGGAGTGCGTTGAGACTATGCGGGATATAAGGACCACATGAAACTTATCTTGGAGCCGCCCTGTTTGAAGGCTACCTCACTTAAGTGCCTTTTAGTGGGCCCAACGTCTGTCTGTTTGGGTTGTTGAGGGAGAGATAAACTATCTTTCAACCGCAAGACTGTTGCTGGATGTTTGAGACTTTTCCGATAGTTATTTTTCTATTTGGTATGAACATTACTTGGCTTTTTTGAGTAAGCCGATCCAAACTTCACTAAAGGTCAGTTGAATGACTTAGAATCCCCTTTACACTTGTGTGAACCAAAACTTTGCTTGACCCTGTTTGTTTTGAACCTTAAAAAAAAAAGGTAGAGGAAAGGGTGTGTGAGTCATGCATGTGAAGGTGAGGTCTGACTTGGGTGTGAGGTTCTATTGCTTTGAGTGCAGGTTGGTAGAAAGATGTTTGCAAAGAAGGTCGATTATGCTTATTTGAGATGCAAAAAATGATTGTCCTCTTTCTACCTTTCACCTTCTTACATGTTAAAAGTACTTGAATTTTGAAGTGAACAATTTCAATTGGTACTGTGAAAAAAACTCGTGAATATAGTGAAGATGAAGTCAATTGGACTTGGACTTTTCCCTTTCTATCCTCAATGGTCTCATCTTCTTATATCTGTCCAAACGATTTTCGTTTTCTATCTGCTCTGACTCTTTAAAGTTTCGTCTAAAAAAATGGGAACAATTCAAATCTACTCGCAATGGACATGTTCTCTTTCTCTAGAAAGCATATGGGGTGAAGGTTTTTTGCTTTAGGAGCCGACCCTGTTATCGACCTGGAATGGACCGTTCTAGAGGGGGGTACTCTGGCGATTCGGTGGAGACGACACAACTTCTGAGATCCGACTTTTGTGCTCCGGCGAGGAGGAGGAGTACCCCAGACAACATTCTAGAGGGTGAGACATGCAACACATCAAGTACTGCACATGATCAAGAATCGTTCGTAAAGCAATTTGTCATCCAATAAAATTTCAAATGTATAAAGATGATTTTGTGTGCCTAATCTTAGGTCGGGGGTAAGGTGAAATGGATGACATAGGCAACGCGTGTCATCAAGTCAAAATAGACGGAGTCTGACTACCTTGTCGGCTGCATCGAGATTCAAGTTATTGTCCGAGCCAACTCCCTGTTGGCGACTCAGTATAATGTTTTTGGTTATCGAGTTTGACCCACGACAAACTTGTGTTATTGGTTCTATCATGTGGTGCTCGAGTTCTTTCAATTACCGTTTCAAGCTATGTTGAATCGTATATCATACATGTCTATTGGCTATTATCAATTCGTTGATGTAATTGAGTGCCGTTTTTATCATGTTTTTCGATTAATGTCTAAGGGACTATGATTATTTTGTGAGTTTTCGTGCTTGGTTGAGACTGTCCTAGCCGACCGACGTTTGTTTCGTACTTCGGAGATTAATGCCCTAGGGAACGGATGACGTATGAGTTCAGATGGCGTTTTAACAAAGCGTACCTATGGTGCAGTGAACGAGCAAACGCCATGGGCTGACCTACCTCTGCGATTGCATATAAAAACTTTCTCATGTGGGTCAATAACTCGGTAGGGATATGTCGTTAACGGTGGTGACAACCCCTTAGGGAGGTAAGTTGTACCCCACGGAAACCTATCCTGTCGTAGGAACTGCTGGCGCACTCGGCTAGAGAGGCGAAGGGACGACGTGACTGCGTTCACTGAGGTGGTTCGCAAGATTATTCACGCGTTACCCCCAAGTTGTCTCTCATTTTTGTTTTGTTTACTCCTGTGAGACATGGTCGGGAGAGCGCCAATGCGCTCGGCAACATTTGACAAGAAGGCAATGGAGAAATACGGATCCTGCCGACGATGCCCACCGCTGCAGTATGGCGATATGGTAGGGAATATGGCAAGCGACGGGTGATTGAACTGGGATGGCCACACCCCACAGTATGCGAGGACGTCGATGCTGACGTGTATGGGCATCGACAATGGAGACGGCTGGTTACCGTTATTTGACACGCATAGCAGAAGACGTGTGGACACAACGTCATCGACAACAGATATGTGCACACCGACCTCTCTCACGAGCGCTGCATGCAATGCAAATGGCATGCATGCCATCAACGGAGCGGGCGGGCGTGTGTTCGTGCATGGGGAGCATGTGTAGCCGTTGGCGTCACTACCATCTTCCACCGAACATAACGCACCCTAAAAATGCACGTATACAAGCTATATTTCGGACCACATACAGCCAAAATGCGGGTGCGTTGTGTTCGGGGGAAGACAGTAGCAGCCCTGGGTGGGCCATTGCCAATTTTGAATTTGAAATTGGGCGGGCCAGGTGCATTTGTGCAGCCTCCGCTCGAAGGTACCTGTCCCTTCTGTCCCGGCCCACCGTGCTGCAGGGGGTCTGTCCGTTGTCCCGCCTGAGCCTCCAAAGGGCCGCGCCTGGCGGACATCATGCGGACCTGCGCGGTCTTCCAACTTCGGAAAAGAGAAGGGGTTCCCCCCCGCCCTACCCCCTGCGTTTGCCACAAATTTCCGGCGGAATGGCGGAATCTGGGCACTTTCTGGCCGGAATTGGACCTGGAAAGTCCTCCGTCGCTTTTCCATGTTCCGGCTGGTGGGGTATGGGATCCCGGAAGGACTTCCAGGCCTTCTTGATTTATGCGTGTCATCCCCGCGCAGGGGCCATGCTAATCTTCTCTGTATCGTTCCAATTTTAACGGATGTCCCGAAGGACCCAGGCCTTCTTCCACTCCCTGTGGGGTCCAGAAAACATCCCGCCTGTTTTTTCCGAGTTTTTCCCCTGTGCTCCACCTCTTAGCTCGAGGTTTCCATATGAATCTGGCCATCATCGTGGGCCCATTCTGTCTTCGGCCTTCGGAACAGACATCACGGGCAGCTCATCGCCACGGATGGCGCGCAGGTGCGGGAGGGAGAGATGTAGGGCATCGCCACACCACTCTCGAAATGTGCAAAATGAGAATGAACTTCCTGCTAGAACATGTCCAGATGCACCAGCAACATTTTTGTCTTTGTGTGGCGAGGCCCATAAGCCGCTACAACTCAGCTCGCTAGCGTTTCTTCTCTCAGCGAATCCGCTTTCATTGTCGTCGGAGTCTATTCAAAGGCCGTAGACTTGAATTGGAGTGAATCGGACGCAAGGTAGTCAGTGGTAAGTCGAGGTTTCTCTTTATCACTCTCACACACACACAAACTCTTTCTCTCTCCGTCGTACTCTCTCTCTCTCTCTCTCTCTCTCTCTCTCTCTCTCCCCCCTACCGAATATGAGCTGAAAGAGAACGGAAATCCCTTGTGGAACGCCTGCCTTATTTTCCAACAGATGTGCCGGATCTTTTCCTGAAAAAAAAACACAATCACGCGCGACACGTGGCGCGCGAGGGAATGTGCAACTGGGGGGAAGAGGAATAGGAATTGGGAAGTGTGAAGAAGAGGAAGGAGGGTGAGGAGAGCGAGCAGGAGTATAAAGAGGTGGATGGGCAGGATGAGGGATCACACGCACTCTCTTTTTCCCTCTCTATCTCTCTGTATTGTCATCGTTTGGAAAAAAAAAAATGCTGGGCGCGTCGTGGCGCATGGGAGACAGTACATAGGGGAGGAGGAGATAAAGGAAGAGGAAGGGAAGGAGGAGGTGGAGGGGGAGGGTGACGAGGACGAGCAGGAGTGGCAGGACGAGGGGAGGGAAGCTTTCTCTCTCTCTCCCGTTGTGTGTGTGTTTGTCTGTGCGTGTTTGCAACTGGATTGTGGCGGGCGTCCGCCTGCGCGCGGACGATAGATATATATGTATATGCGTACATGCATGCATACACACACACACACACACACACACACAGAGAGAGAGAGAGAGAGAGAGAGAGAGAGAGAGAGAG